GCTTCTTGTTACTAGTAGCGATGCCAGGAGCCCCTAGTAGCGTCCTTTGCACAATGTCTTTTATATATGCGGCAAGTATGTTGGAGGCCACCGTTATTAGATTGGAGGCCATTGCTATTAGTTAACAAAAGAAGCTTTTCTGCTTTGCAATGCACGAAGTGGTCGAAAGCAAGTGTTGCAACTGTGCCCTGAGTTTCACGATCCGGAAGAGCCTGTGGAGTGGGTGGCTGGCTGTAAGCCTGTCAGGCAAACATATGGGTGCTTGGCGTGCATGTCCATCCGTTTTTTGCTGATATAATAGTGCTCAACAGCCAAAGTCTACCGTTTAGAACAACAGCCGAGGCACTGCAAGTGTCATGTGGCCAAAGCCTGATGGTGCAGCGGCTTGCACTGGAGTGGTCACCCTAAATATCTAGGAACCAAATCATTAGTGCGAGCGCTTCTTCAAGGAAGCTCCCCGCCCTCAGGCGTGGGGAGCTTCCTTGAAGAAGCGTGAGCTATCCTGCATATATATGTAGTAGCTACTTCAACTACTAGCTACCTAGCTTCTACTACCTACCTCTAGCTGCTACCCCACCTCTAGCGGTCTACCCTCCACAAAAAAAGAAAGCTGGAGTTGCCATTCTGTCTGAAGCAAATGCTGAAAGTTGAACGTCGAGTCTGGCCTTTGGGGCTGTCCAAGCCAGGAGGTGCATGCGGCACTGGTGCTTGGCACAGGAAGTGATCAAAGGTCAAACGCGGAAATTGGTCGAGTGATCAATGTCGGAGTTTTGCATCTCCTTTGTTCGATGTTGAATTCTCTGCTGGATTGGTTCGCCCAATTTTGCTTCAGGCTGATAGATATGAAGATTTCAGAGGCGTTCGAAATTAAGAACCTTGCCCAATCCAGGGGGCGGCCGCATGAGTCCCGGGAGGATCGCATCCTGGTATGTACGCTTGACATTAACCTACTGGCGATGGCCTCAAACCTACTAATTTGTGTTCCTTGCTCTTTTCTGATCACTTTTCTTTTGTACAGTCCATGTCTGTATGTCACAAAGACAAGCCTAGATGGTTAGGTCTTGAATGGCACTACGCTTGCCTCTTGAAACTACGTGGGCAACGAAGGCCAAACAGTGTCTGTTAGTGTCAGAAAATCTAGGCTAGATACATCTTTAGAACTCTACCAGGTGTCTGTGCAAGTTTGTTGAAAGGATCTCTTGATTGATAGCATCCCAACCCTATGCAAGAACTATTCATGGGATCTTCACAGGAGGACCTTTGTAGCATCTTTGTGGAGGGTCTTCTCTGCAAGGAGATGTGCTTACAAACATTCTGAAATCTCTTGGTCTCGACAGGAGGTCTCTTTGTAGGAAATCTACAATGTCTCTGATCCCTGTAGAACATGTCATATGCCTGCACCTGGAAATCCAGCCACTAAGTCTGACTTCAAGGTGTACAAAGCAACGCCCTGCCACGAAATCTGAGCTTCGACGCGACATGGCGCGGTGCCTGCCACAAAGTCTGACCATGGGACTATTTATGGTCCTAAGTCCTAAGTCCGAAGTGAAATCTTCATGGCAAGCGGTAGGGATTGGACAGCTTCGCCTTCGCTTCGTCCAGATCTCGTGGCCCAATCTCGGGGCAGATCTTGTGCCACACGGAAATCGAGTTTTGAAGATTCCACTGTTCATTCGTGCATTGCAAATTGTTGAGTTCAGATTTGGCAGGCATACAATGTGTGTGTGTACCTTGAAATCAATTCCGTTCAAATCCCGCATTTCGTGGAGCGAGGCAGCTCTTTGTAAACTTTTAAGTTTAAGATTCCTGACAGGCTAGTAACAAAGGGCATCGCTACTAGGAGCAAGGACGCTACTAGGGCTCCTAGCCTTACAACTAGGCGTAAGAAGCTACTAGTAACAAGGGGCATCGCTACAAGTAACAAGGGCATATGTTGTGGACCTTCGACGAAATCCAATAAGCCACCTCCCAATCATGTGCCCACGGGCCTTATGCAGTCTACGATTCTCAAGCAAACTTTTGCAGGACCCATACGCACAGTGCCCCCCAACCCATGCGAACGGCGACCTAAACTAAAAAACCATAGTGTGGACAATGTTTGGAGAGCAAGGATGCATTTAAGAGATAGGCAAGGAAGGTTCAACAAAAATCTGTGGACACTGTTTCAACTTCCGTATGCTTCTACATGTGCTCTCTTCCTGTGACAGCTCCTTGACATCCTGAGCTTCTGCAAGCTTGCTGGTGCCATGCCCTCGGCAACCCCTGCAATCATTGAAGATGTAAAAACAAATGAAACAAGAAAAAAGAAAATCAAAGCACGCATGTCCAGTGCCTAAGACATGTCAAAGCGTTTTCGTACGTTCATGATGCTTTGAACTTCGAACAAATTCAATGTGTTTGTTCTTTCTGTTTCACCTCCCCCTGCTGCGCCGTTCATGCGGAAGGTGGCAGAACCTCACTTGTTCAAAAGCTCAAAGCAACATGTCAGGATTCATCAAGCTTAAATAATTGTAACTATGCCTTGGATGCACTTTCTGCATCGAACTCTTTCTTTCGTCTCTCAGTTCGACACTGGCAATTGATACCGTTGCGACAGCGATTCTGGCAATCGGCAACTGAAAAGGAATCTTTGCAATGTGAAAGAATTGCAAAAAATAATGGACGCTACTAGGGCTTCTGGCCATACTACTAGGAGCAAGGACGCTACTAGGGGCTCATTGCAAAGATTCATTCCAAAGACGAAACGATGGAGAACGTCGCGATTCATTGTGTGGCCTGGGGCTGATTCCGCGAGTCCGGCCTGCCCTGAGTTTGACATTTCCTCTGGCAAACACTGTCAACTACCTAACGGACTACGGGTGAAACAACAGGCTCTGCGAATGCGGGAAACAAGCACGAGAGTCTGCGAGTGCCGTGCACACCATTGTTGTTCGCAAAGCTGTTTCATTCCGGCACCTTTTGTGCCAGTAGAGGACCCATTTGGCAAACTGAAGTGCAGCAAACCTTCTTGGAATACAGCCAAACCTATCTAGTGAACTTTATCCGGAAAAGGACTAGAAAGTTCATCTGCACCAAGGTCATTATCCAAGGACTTGCGGACTGGACATCACAGAACGCCTGAGAAAACATGCAGCAACTAAAGGCAAAACTCAGAAAATCACATAATGCAGCTACAAACAGAACATCCTCATCAAATTGCCTTTCACAACCAAAAACAGTCTGGGCACAGCGTGTAGGAAGAACCTACCTGAACATCGTCAACTAGGTGTGCAGACCTACAAAGGATACTTCGTGCAGCTCCTCCGTTTCATCCTTAGTGACTGAACAAGGCAAAAAACCAAGTGTGCAATGTTCTCAAGTGGTTTCGCAATTTCAAAAACACCGCTAGGTTGGAGAGGTTGGAGGCCAATGTCATTCCCTCATCGTTCTTTGTGCCTCATAAGGCGCCCTTTTAATGCTGATAGCGTCGGCAGAAAAAAGTGGCAGGTCTTTCCGGCTGCTTTCTTCCTCAGCTGAAAATGTTCAAACAACTGTCAACTCTGATCGAAGCCAAGCTCCCTGCGCCATTAAACGCAGATGTCATAACATCCGTCACATCTGCTCCTGCAGTAGAAGTTAACATCTTAACAGATCTCGAAATGATCTGACAAAGCATTTCGAACGAATATATTTAGGGAATGAAGAGAGATGTCCAAACAAAACTGTGGCAGGAACCTTACTGGTCAAGAGGTGAGGTTGTTGCCATTGGGGAAATGGGGTTCTGCCACTGATGAAGTGGTGAGTTCGCAGCAGCTTCTTGCTGCTCGTGAGCAGGATTGCCTTGATGGTGAAATAGGACATGTTCAATGCTCCTTCGATTCTTTCCCTCTTCAGTCTTGTACAAGTTTGGGCTGTGCCTTCCAATTCCTGCACCTCCGTGCTTGGAATTTCCTTCATCTTGAAACTTGCAAAATGGAATCATACGCACCTTTTCTTGATACTCAAAGAGGGCTGCAGTAGGGTCCATGATGTTAATTATTTTACTCGCTTTGCCACCATAATCCATTTTCTTCAACTTCATTCTTCTAATTTGTTGCTGTGAACTGTCTGTTCTTAGAGGTTGACATGGAGTTGCCCAAGCTTTGCTTCAGAAGGACCGCGCAATTGACTTGCCTGCTCTGAGATGCATTGGTCTCTCATCGATATCTCTCTGTTCCCTATTTTGAACATTTTGTTCAGTGGTCCTTCTGATGGCGTTGCTCCATCTGTAGCTGCCTTCAACATTACTTGATGTCCCCAATACTGTTCTGTTGATGCTTGCATATCTTCCAAGCTCCTTCTTGCTAAGAGGTTTCCTGCATTGAACTCTTGTAGCACATCATAGGCGCTAATTGCTGTAGTATCTGGTGTGTCGGGCTCAGTGAAGCCTCCCGCCGGAATCAATCGACAATGATTCTCCTGGTATAGTTGCGCAATCGTTCAATTTTGTCTCCATAGTTCCCAGCTTCCCTGGCATCTCTTTCAAAATGTTCAGTTCTACTTTCTAACTCCATGGTCCTGTATTTCATACCATCTGCTCTCCAATCAATACGCTGCCAATTGTCATAGTAGCGTCTTTCTGTATGACCCCATTGTTCACCACAGTCCTTTTGGAGTTTCAGGTCAAGACGTTTGACAATTGTAAAGACCACAAAAACAATACCACAAAGAAAATGATGTTGGTTGCAATGATCACTATGATCCAAATATTCCAATTGTCATTGGATTCCTTCATCTACTCCAGCCTTATGTCTTCTAATCCACACGGGGTGTTATTTCCTTCTTTGAAGGATGCTTCTGTAACCATTGGCTGCAAGCCCTCCAACGCTACCATTCTCACAAGCATCTTGGCAATCTTGTTGACCCTCCCTGCAAAATTCATCTGTTCTTCAAATTCCCTTCTCCCGTATTCTCCTACTCTCACTTGGTCTTCAGTGCCAGTATCCACTTAAGTTCATAAAGTATCTGGTTCTTTGTCCTCCGAGTGGCTTTGCGTTGAGGTCTGCCATGTTGCTATCTGTTGGCACTTGTACCATCTTGAAATCTTCCTTCCTGTTCTCAACCCATAGCAACTTTCCATCTAAATGTCTCACTTTTCCAACTCCCCTTCGTCACAAGTTGGCGCGCGCTTGATGAATCTGTGAAGATGTACTGGTCCACCTTTGTCCCAAGAACAAATTATAGAACTGCTCTGATATAGGTTCTATCTGATGCTGAGGAAACTATTGCGTGTAGTTCTGCTTCACATGAAGATAGGCTTACAATCTTCTGTGTCCTGCTGCTATTGAACAATGGACAACTATTCACTGCGTGGAATCCTCCTGACGTTGACTTTCTGTCTCCTTTCTTGACATAACCTTTTCCTTCTTGGTGGAAGTTCAAGGGCTAGACAATAGCCTTCTACAAGAACCCCAAGAGTTTTCTTCAAGTGAGAAGCGACATAGCTGTAGGATTTGACATTCTTGAAGCCAAATCCGCCACTGTGAACGCTACCGCATTTTTTGTGGACATAGATAGATACCTGGCCCAACAATGCTTCTGAAAAGGCTAATCTTCTCTGGCTCGTGCAAGACTTCTGACTTGTCTTCCATCTGGATTGAGTTGTCTGCTGGTAGTTGTTGGAGTTTGACAGGTTCAAACTGCTCTTCATAGGCTTTCAGCATCTGCTGGATGTAGTTGCCTGGTTGGATCAAAAATCCATCAAATTCCAGTTTGTACTTTCTCCGCAGGAAATTGAACTCATCTCCCATCCTCTCGGCCTTGCTCACACTGGTGTCGAAATTGCCTGGAATCTTTGGAAGAAAGATTTCATTGGTGTACTTTGAGTCTGCCGCGAAAATCAAGTCGTCCACATGGATCCAAATGGTACTCTTCTCATTTCTTCCTAGGCGTGGACACTCGGCACTAAATTGGTAGTTGACTTCCTCTGTGAGGTACTCTGTGAAAAAGTCAAACCACGCTTTTGCTCCAACTCTTTGTCCGGTCAGATTCCCCTTCACTAGGAATTCTTCTCCTCTCAAGAGCACTTTTAATTTAATGGTTTCTCTTGTGGAGCTTGTAGCAATGCATCCTTCACACCCAGACATCCTAGTATCTATGAGAATGCTCCTTCTCCCTCTCTCGCCTCATCTTCTGTGCTAATTTTTTGCACGAATAGTGCGGGTAGAAGCTTCAGTACATGCGGCGAAGTCGCTGGTGGGAAAATGTCATCTCCCTTCCCTTCAGCGAAAGAAAATCCTCTTGCAACTAACTAGTACCTCTTAACTGAAATACCATCTCCAAGTTGATATGGCTTCTTCCTCCAGTCATACCAAGTAACTGGCCCCTTCAGCCTCTGGTTTCTCCACTTGCATCTTCTGGAGTCTTTTCTCCTCCACTTCATCAGCTACTCTGTCAACCCATTCTTCTGGATCTCCTTCTGGTTCATGTTCTCCATCGCGCCACAAGCATTTTGATGTAAGATAGCTAGATAAGACAAGGGTGTCTATGTCTATAACTTAAAAATAAAAACAAAAAATCCAAACTCACTTCAAAAGTCCAACCAAAACTCACCTCTCACCAGGCAAGTCCAAGCAAAACTCAAAAGTTCAAGGCAAAGTCCAAGCAAAACTCACAGGTAGGGAAAACAGGGAAGCGCCCGCTCAGCGAGTTTTGGGCGAGCTTTGCGCGAGCTTTTGACGAGCTTTGGTAGAAGAAAACTAGACAAAGGCTCAAATCGAAGCTCAAAAACTGGATGCGCGCGAGCTTTTCACGAGCTTTCTGCGAGCTTAGCTCGAAATAAACCAGCACCGAACTCACCACGACGCTCACGCCACGGGAAACTACTTTTGCGCGAGCTTTAATTGGACTTTCCCTGAGTTTCGCTCGAACTTTTTAATGATCAGTTGAATTTGCTTTGGACTTTCCTGTTGACTCTTGAGCTTCCATTGGACATCAGCACAGCACAAGCGAGTTTTAAGCGAGCTTGAAAACGAGTTTTGGGCGAGCTTTAAGCGAGCTTGAGAGGCCCCTGTCTTATCTGCTATTTTACGTCATAACACAAGCATTCAGGTCCATTGATCGCTTCTCAGTCTGAATCATCATTTCCCACTCTTCTTCCCCAACCTCTTCTGCAACTGGGGAGTGTTCTTCATCTACATGGTACAGATCTTCTCTACCAACTTTCACCACGTTAAACTTGGCCTTCTTGCTTGGATCATCTGATGGCATGAGTTTCTCTATTGGGATTTCCTCCTCAAGCAATTCAAATGCTTCTCTGGGGCTGGATGGCGCTGATGACCTCAATGAACATAAGATAGGAGTAATTGGATTTGGCTGTCCTGCTGGCAATGATGTAGAGGGGAATGCTCTCACTTCTTCTTCAAAAGTGTCTTCTCAGTTGTAAAGAGAACTTTCTGCTTCTTACTTGATGTCTCTTCTCCACTTGGCTTTCTTTCACTTCTCATTGCTTCAACAGGGGTCTCCAGCAGGGCTGGAATCTCCTTTGGCTCTGGAAATAGTTGTTCTTCTTTCTCTGAATCACTTCCTTTGGCCATGACTGCTTCTGCATCCTCATCCCTGAGTTTCACCACTACATGTTCCCGAGGGATATCTGTCTGCGCTGCTGGTAGCGCCCTCCTCTTGGCGGCAACAATTCTTCCTCCAAAATTGGCTTGATGCTCCCACGAAAATGCATTGAAGCTTTTGTATGTAAGTATTTTGGACCAATCGTACATAGGTGTCTTGCCTTTCAACCTTTCCCAAGAACAAGCATAGACGCAATCTCGCTTCTCCTTTGTTGAGGCTCTTGATCTAACCGTGAACTGGTTCACCATACTCTGCTAAAAGTCCCTTGTAACTTTTGTCATTGACAGGCTCATAAAGAGTTGCTCCTTTGACTGGCTGAAATCTGTTAAGTACCCACCTGACATGTCTTGCTGTCCAAGTCCACCAAAGTGCATGATCTGATCCAATCTTGACACCAAGTCTTGACTGCACACCTTCAATGAAAGTTCCTGCAAGCTTTCTCACCCTGTCAACTGTGTTCTCTGACAGAAATGAATGATCTCCAAGCTTTGAGTTAACCACTCTGTTAGTGAGTCCTAGACTGTGTTGAGCATTGATCAGCATCTTGAGGATTTGCCTTGTTGTGGGTTCATTGTCACTCCTGTAGGTGAATGCTGAGTACCCTAACAACTGACTGAAACTTGTCAATTCTTGCACAATTCGGCGAAATTGGCCTTTGCTCCCCAATGGCACAACATGAATGAATCCAGTTCGGCCGTCAACTGCAACTAGCCAACATACTGCTATTGCTGACTTTGTTTCTCGGCCAATTTCTGAATCTCTTGCTCTCGTATTGCAAAAGTCAACGCTTACCTCAGGAATACTTCCTCTCTTTACTCCATCTCTTCTCTCACCTCTCTTGTTTCTTGAGCTTTTGCTTCACTCACCAAGCTTTTGGCGCTCAACAATTCCATCTTTTTGTTGCAACTGAGGATCTTGGTGTAGGTGAGGATCTTGGTGTAGGACCTTAGCTTCGAGCCACTGCTTGAAATGCCGAGAAATGAACAAGCTGCCCTCAGAGTTGCCAAAGATGAGTCCTTGCTCAACTCTGTTCCATTCACCAAGACTTTGTCTACATCCATTGGGCTCAATTGTAGTTCACACTCAAGGTCATCGGCTTTCTTTTCCTCTTCTTTCTGACCTTCTACCTCCTTTTCCTGTGGGGTAGGGGTAATCTCTTCTAGCGCCTGCTGCGCTTCTTCCTTTCTCTGCTCTACGTTCTCAAGCTTCTTGTATCCTGGTGAAATCCTCTGGTGGTGCTGGCTCATAGCTGACGATTGCGATCAAAGGAATGACTGTGTCATCATCAAAGAATTGCTCATGAAGCTCTTCCTGCTCATCATGCTCTCACAATATTCAAGCATTAACCATCGACCTCCTCGTTTCACCAAAGTAGTTCTCATCAGCTCTGGTGATTCTTCCGCTTCTGGAATTACTGGGAGGTCCACAAACTTTGAAGTGAAAAAGCTTCCCACTTGCAGTCCATGTTCATTGAAACTCCAACCTGATTCTTTCTCAAGAGGTTCAGGTCCTTGTACCTCCAAACAGTTCTATGGCTCACAATTGCACCCGGGATCCCAGTGACCTAGAGGCTTTTCAATTAGTGCTCCAGAGGGGTCACCTCCTTCTCAGCTCCGCTACCATACGCACCGCTTCTTGATACTCAAAAAGGGCTGCAGTAGGGTCAATGATGTTAATTTTTATACTCTCATGTACACATTGATCTGCACAGAAAATGGTTCGCAAATCAGCATGCAACAAAGACCAAACCCGACTGGAAGTTGTGGACATGTCATGTCGATTCACCTTTTTCAGCATATCAGGAGTGCAGGTTGTGCGGTCAAAGCTTTGTCATGACAAAGTTGTTGCTTGCCTTCGTAGGACTTTCCTGATTGTGTGTGAATATGCTTTCGGATGAGCGCTAGCAGGCATCATGGAGCCGTTGAAGATCACAGATCAACATTGTGGGCCGCAAGTAAAAGCTGCTAGGGCTCGCACGGACTCGCAGAACACTTCCACTGTGCAGGTAGTCGGGCAACCTCAAGACTTGATATCTGAGAAACTCTTAAAAAGGCCCCAAGCAGGAAATCACGCCAAAACCTCCAAGCAGAACATCGACTATATAGGCCTTCATTGCAAAGCTTCCCAAGGCTCGGGCATTGCATCGCATGGCTTCTGCATGAGTGCTCGAACCTAAACTAGGTGATGCTAAATCTGCAAAGCAAAGGTCACAGCCACACCCCAGATCTAAAATTGAAAATTGCGAAGGATCGTGAGGAGTACACCCAAAGATCAAGCACTTGGGCACTTTCAAAACTCATCTTGAGCTTGTACATGCAAAGCTCCTGCTTGAAGAGCAAGGTTCCAAGTGACTGATGCAAGATCTTGAATCATAAACTTAGAACATACTGTAATTGTTTAATGCCTCCAACCTAATAGCGATGTCCTCCACCCTACATGGGATTGTAAAGTACAGTATGCTGTGTTGAAGGTGACAATCCACTCCTCCCACCGACCATCTGGAAGGAGTTTGGCAGCCCTGCGCAACTGCGATTAGAGAAGCAAATGTGAGGCAAGGAAGCGGGTTTTGCTGTTGAAATGATCTAGCACTTGCAGAAAATCGTGCATCTTGGCTACCCTTCTGTCAAGTAAGCATAGTCTGGCCTGACGAGTTCTTCGCTAATGCGCCTTGCGTAACAAGAACCCATCATTACAAGGTTTGAAAACCCTCAAAAAGAGATCACACAGACAAACATCCCTGTTTGTGCGTTGTGTTGGTAACATGCATTTTCTTATACAGAGACATCGTCCAAATCACTCTTTTCGATGCCTTTCCAAGAATTTTGCTATTTCGCTACAGCGAAACGCGAACTCGACAAGTTCTAGTTCCCCCCATATCTCTCTCTCAGCATGAAAATGCATGTTTCTCCAACCAAAGATGATTAACCCTCCACCCAACCCAACACACTACCACCAACAAATGCAAAAATTGCGAAACACAAAGAAAATCCGGTTAAAAAAATCCTCTTTGCGAACAAGCACGAAGAAGAAAGAGCTTGACATGATTCACCATAACAAAATGCTGTTTACCGTGAACATGTATACTGTAAAGGTGCTCGCTTTCATGCCAAGTGCAACGACATCGGACTAATTCTTCGTGGCACAACTACTAGCGCGGTTATCAACCCGCTAGCACAAACATGTCCGAGCAATCACCACCTGCTTGTCAAGCTGTCCAAGGGAGCTGTCGGCCTCAGCTGCAAACATTACAGTCTCAAGTGTAAAGTGGATGGGAAACAACTTACCACGAGAGAGTAAACCAACGAATCAGAACAAAAATTGAAGACTTTCTTAGCAGCTTGCTTCACTGCCAAAGTGATCATCTTCGCCTTCAAGGGCTTGGAAACAGGGGCAAGGACGCTACTAGTAGCTCCTGGCATCGCTACTTATAACAAGGGCATCGCCCGAGGCTTTGCGAACAGAAACTCCACGTGCGGTACTGAGCTGCACAGCTGGATTTCTGGATTTGTGTGTGACACCGACACCAGATTGTTTCTAAAAGGAATTTCTAGATGTGCATAACTGCAGCTTGGTTTCTGGAAGGAGATTCCGTTTGGGTTGCTCAGCTGCTTTGTTCTGGACTTGTGTAAGCGCCGCTTCCTTGCAAGAGGGTTTTCTGGATTTGTGTAACTGCAACTGAACAGCTGCGTTTATTGATTTGTGTAACCGTGGCTTCCTTGCAAGAGGATTTAATTTGGATTTGTGATGTATTTTTCATGCCATGTGTGGCACTCAGACCAGCTGGGCTTAACGGCTTCTCTCCAGCTTGTCCTAAACAAGTGTGCCAGTTGTTGGGCGACAACAATCCCAGGTCGTTGTAACTCTTTCTCTCTCTCTCTCTCTCTCGCTTGCACAGGCTAATGTTGATTGATATAGTTGAACATGGACTCCGCTGCCTGTGTTTCCTACCGTTCTACTTTGCCTCATCCGAGATGTCTAGGAATTGCAAATGACGACAGTCCACCACGGCCTCACTGGTTCCAAAGTGCAATCGCTTCCAAGGTTTCTGGTTGTTGGACTCTGCCTATGCTGGCATTCCAAGGGCAAAGCATGCGGAACCGCAATGCCAGGAGGCTGAGAAGAGAAGACAAGGCAAATACCGCCTGAGCAGTCTTCTTACAGAGTGGGGTAGGAAGCTAGTAGTAACAAGTGCATCGCTAGTAGTAACAACAAGAAGCTATTAGTTAATTTAATTCTAATTTGATTTAATTCTAATAAATGCACTGTGCAACTTCACAGCTCAGGAGCCCAGCACAAGCTTGCCCAAATGCAAGGGTTTTCATTTTCGATCTCCTTCATATCAAAGCCCACGACGAAAAAAGATTTTGACGAAGCGCTGTTTCCTTCTTTGTAAAGCCAAATGAAAGAAATCAAAGCTCCTCTTCTACCTGTGTCACACATTCAGAACCTTCATGCGAAGCATCGCTAAGCAGGAAGAAAAAGTCCAAAAGTCTCATGTTTCTGTCTTTTACTAGGAGCAAGAACGCTACTAGGGGCTCCTGGCCTTGCTACTAGTAGCAAGAACGCTACTAGGGGCTCCTGGCCTTACTACTAG